AGGGGGGGAGCATGACCTGAAAGGCCTTGGAAAGGAAGGTGGTGAACACTGAGGGACAGGGGAGGACAGGAACTCGACATTTCCTTTGCTGTCAAATTAAATCTAACGTGAACCTTGCCCTTGTACAATAATCCCTTTTCTCCTCGTATTCTTGTTAGAATTCTTGCTTCTCTTATCAATGCATTCCTGTACTGAGTTCCAACAGTGACCTTAACATTTTTATGAGCTGTAATTCTTCCCACAAAGAGCAGGAATAACAGATTTCAGATTTGCAATGAACCTAATCTTGACAAGATACATCTATTGCTATCAAAATAAAACATGTCTGTAAAAACACCAGAATTGTTCTCTTGCTTCCCACAGATTTTAGAGATGGAATTGATCCATGGACACTGAGGCCCCAGTTTCATCTTCTACTAACAATCATACCAACATTTCTCTTTGGTGAAATGTTCAGACTTGGCAAAATCAGTGTTTTTAAACACATTTTAAATATTAAATATTTTCCCCAAGGAATAAAACCCCAAAAACATTAGCCTGAGTATTGAAATGGAGCAGCCATAAGAAGGATGACAAGGAGTTGTGAAAGGAAAGTTAAGGAAAGATGTTCTACTTGAACTTCTCAAGTTTATTTTGTGTTATTCTGTTGAAGAGTGTCACAAATTAGGATTATCACCAGTGATAATTATTGCTGTCCAGTCTCATTGTAGCTTGCAGAGTGCCAAATTCCTGGGCAGCTCCTGTTCTTGAAGCTGTGCTGGTATCAGTGGTGACACTGACAGGCAGGTCAGTGAAGGCCGAGTGGCCCCCTCAGCCTTCCCTATCCAGACCCCTCCCTGGAAGATCTGCCCCATTGCCAAGTGCTGGATAGGAAAGAACTAAGGAAGTAAACAAATGTGTGCTGGGATTGCACTTTAAGAAACTTGAGCGTAAAACCAACCTTTGAGTTTAAATTTTTCATGCAATATAGAACTAATTTATCTTTCAGCTAAAGAAAAGCAGATGTTGGAATGGAAATACACATGAGAAGACATAGAAACAGTTGTGAAAGCTGTAACTTTCTTATTTGAAAAGTTTGTTTTTACTTTTTCTTGTTTGTCCTGGGTATTTTGTGTAGTCTTAACAGAAGAAAGCCATTAAAAATTCTATAAAGATATACTTTTAAAGGAAAAGTTAAGTAGAATAAAAGCTGTGGAAAGAGGGTAGTAGGAATAAAAGGCAGCATAAACAGCAAAAAAAGTCCAAGTCAATACCAAACCAGAATGGAAGCTAAAGAACTGTTTGCAGTGTAACCCTTCAAAAATCCCTCATAATTACTAATTACTCTGACAGGTTTGTATCGTGAGCATCTGTTGGACAAGGATATTTTAAATGTTGACCTATTTCTTTCAAACACTGTGCCACTGAAGACAAATTACTGCAAGACTGTTGATAGCTGGCTATGCAATGCTTGCAAGCCTTCAGTAAGAGAGAACCATTTTGCTGAAAATTTATTTTTTATGTTCAGCAGAACAGTTCCACCTGCTCCTTACAGAAAGATTTAGATCATTATATACCTGTAGATAAATTTATGTATCATGTTTATAACAAAGCAAACACAAAGTACATTTATAATCAGCTTCTAGTAAAATATGTTTAAAAAAACAATAAGAATAGCATTGTTTTATTGTATGTCCCGATAGAACTAGAATGGTGGGAAGATAGTAAGAGAATTGTTATTAAAACATTATCTTCAAACATCACCCTGTTGAAGATGAAAGATTTTCAGAGAAAATTAAAAGAATGACAGAGAAATTGTTGCCTAAAGAGGAAGGATTTTAAGAAATCTGTGCCTTCTTTATAAGTAATAATCCCAGTGCTCATGTAATTTCTATTGACATGTGATTTATGGCTGTGAAAAGGAGTCTGTATAGCTCTTTCAAAACATAAAGTGAGGGAGTGGCATCCTTTGAGCAAAAACCTCTGGGGCTCTATCTGCTTAAGTGTTTCCTAAGTTTCAGCACTATGAGAATATGAGAATACTCCATTGTTAGGGGATTTTGGAGGCATGCCTGGATCAAGGAAGTACTTCCTCGCCATGCTGTTTCCTTTCCCAAACAATGTAAAAAATGGCCTTTTCAAGCAAACATCTAGAGGTGGTCACTTTGTACATTGTCCAACTAGAACACAACCATGGTAAGATAAACCATTCACTTGCATGAATGGCTCCATGTTATTACTGCCACTTCCTTTTTATTTTCATGGTGATTTTGTTTTGATTTATGCATATGCATAGAAGTTCAAGCCCCTATATAATGATTGTGTCATAAAACTGGCCAAGAAAGCAGCAAGTGACTCCCCCTGCTCACTGCCCTCAGTGTACATTTGCTGGGGCAGCCTCCCTACACCCCTCAGCTTTTCACATGCTCCTCTAATGTGGGCTTGGTACCAGCTGATCAGAGAGAGTAAAAAACACACCTACAAATAATGGATTACCACACAAATAATGGGTTACAGTGGCATTTTACCCCAGTGCTTTAAGTGCTCTGACTTTACATCCAAACAACATTTCAGAAGAAGCAAAAATAAGTTTGAGTACATATTCTGTTCTTGGTTTAGCCTTGCATTATCCAGAGGATTTCTAACTAATCTCAGGCACTCAATATGTGTGCATTAGAGTATTAGGTGAATATCCATGTTTTAGTCCAGTATTGCTGTTGGCACATTGCAAAAATCAGAGCAAAATACTTAATGCCTGAATTCAGTGGAAAAAGTTTTTGTAAATATATTATAAATCTTTTAAACAACCCCATAACATTTTAAACTGGTTTGTAACCAGTACTCAATGATTTGTAACCAAACTCACATTCGTTCTCTGTTCTGTGTCTTGAGTTGCATATTTAAAATTACTTGGACACAGCTATTATTTTATGACTTCAAGAAAGTGCTGAGACTATGCATTGTATATATCTTGAAGAATGTCATGATTATTCTGTATGCTAGAGAGGAGTAATTTGAAAAAAGACTTGGAAAGTCCCTTCTAAAACTTTGGCAAATTCTTGGTCTGTGTGGACTTGTCCAGTGTATAAATCACAAAATTAGGTTCATTCACTTTTGTTGCTGAATTTACACTTTGAGAAACACATTTACTGGGACCACTTTTACTTCACAAAGATCTAAAAAGTCACAGCCTCAACAAAAAAAATCAGCCTAAAGGTGATTTTGTTTTGAAAGGCACTCAATTAATATTTTTTACCAACATGGTATATATTGAATAACTCAGTGGATTTGAGAGAAATTGACCTTATTTTCTCCAACTTACTCAAAGGTCAAAAGACAGAAATGGATTAATGATTTCTTGCTATGTTTCCTCATGACAACTTCATCCAATTTGCAAATATTTGCTCTGTAAATAGTACAAATATATATTATATTCATATTTATAGATATATAACATTATTTAGAAATCAATGCATGTGGCTTTTGACTAATTTTTCTTGCTGAAGTAAAACCCCAAAGAACTTGCCACTCCTTTTTAAGACAGTCTTCTGTCCATAGGTTCATTAGTTAAACTGAGAACAATGGCAGTTCTATAAAAATCATCCCTCTGGGGCAGGGGTTTAAGTTTTTTAAAATTTTACTAATTAATTTTCTACACAAATTCTTTCTGTTGTTTGTTTAGTGTCCTTTTAGTGGTCTTTGGCAGTAACATGACTGCTGAGTTTATTCTCTCTTGCACCCTCTTTCCTGTTAACTCTGCTTGAGGTAGCAGTTGGTTGACTGAAGCATAATGGGAATAATCTAAGTTAATGCTGGGTGCTCTAAACATTTCCTCAACAAATAAGCAGCAGTGTGTTGATAGCCTGTAAGTATTTTATAAGTGCAATTAAATCACAGTGATTGATTGGGCTGGGGTGAAAATCAGAATAATTTAGAACAGCAAATTCTTCACAGGGAAACCCTCATAAATTAAGAAAACACACAAACGAACAACAAAAATAAACCATTTAAGGAGTTCTGTTCCTATACCATGTTTTCCTCATTTCTCAGCCCTGTTTAGGAGGAACAACCTGATCAAAGTGAGACCTTTTGTTTCTTGAGAAGGCATCTTTTCTGCTGTTAATTTATGTTGAGTGAAAACACACATTAGGTTAACTGATCTAAAAGTTTAGTTGCTAAAAGTGGGGGAGGAAATCTCTGTCCTTTTTATTTTATCCCACTTTTCTCTCCCTTTGCCTGGCTCCAGGTTACAAAATCTTGCACTTTTATAGTACGTGTTGGATTCCTCATAGAACACATTCAATTCACTAAATTGCTGGAAAATTACTTATTTTCTGCCAGGTTTTGTGCTTGTTCAGCACTGAATCAGCTCAAAACTAAATCAGATGATTACTACTGTCATTGCAAGGGAAGGAGTGCAGGATGCAGCCAAGGTTGCAACCTCCTCACTGGAGAGACGGGAAGTTGAAAACAGAAAGGTCATGCATTTATGAAAATATCTAATATGAAATATGGAGTTTAATGTATAGTTTATCATAGTGGTACTGGCTCCACAAAATCACTAGGGTGCTGTGCCTGTGAAAAATTTGGTAATACCCCTGCAATATCTATGTTGCCTGTTTCAGTTCTGTCTGAGTATTAGATACTAATTTTTTAAAACTTTTTTTTTTTTACTTCTAAGTTGTTTTTGTGTTTTTTATATGTAAGTAACAGTTTTGTTTGTTTTGTTAATGTAAGTACAAATACTCTCAATGGCTCTGTTCTCTTGGGTATCCATTAATTCTGAATGCACTCTACTGATGTGAAGACATGACTAACTAGACAATTAAGATTTCAGCACTAATTATTGGTAGTCCTATAGTCTGGCTGATTCCTATTAAAAATATTTTCAAGAATTGGCACACATTCTGTGTTTTTAAAAGTAATGTGAAAATTTTAATATCGCTTTAACAAAATCTGGATGTAGACAGGATAGGGAAAGTTCCATAGAGGAAAACCACCTACCTCCTTCAGAGCAGATACACTTTATTAGAATAACTTTATTTCTAGTCAGAAATGACTTTGATTCATGTACATTTGATTAGTGTTAACTTGTGAAACTAAATTTACAACCACAGCAAAGGCAGAAGAAATGTAGAATTGACTTTGTACACATGGCATAAAGGTTAGGCACTTGCAGTAATCTGAGTTTGGCTCCTGAGGCTGTAAACTTTAGCAACTGCTTAAACACACTGGTTTTCATTTGCAGATATTTTTCCTCAAAAAGTTCTCTAAGTGACAGTTTAAGTAATTTTAAACATAATGTTAATTGGAGCAATTGTATTCCAGTGAAAAAACATATGACATGGAACTCAGAGGTGTCAATTGAATAATCAGTACATACTGAAACTATTTTTCCTGCTTTTCACAAGATTTTCTAAGACATTATTGTGTATTTAGAATTGTAAATAAAAGCACTGAGAAAAATTCAACCAGAAATAAAAATACCACTCAAAATAAGTTTTTTTTTCATATACTTTTATTTTACCTTGAACAAAAAATTTTGCAAACCATCAATTACTAAGAATGGAGGGAAAAACCCTAACATGTAACAGAGGAGGCTTTGGTTATAAGTGCCATTTCTACAGCAGAGTTAAGCTATTGTAAACCAAACATCTTGTAGTAAGGTAAAAATATTCAGGCACACTTTTAAGAATAACAGCAACACCAAAAACATTTACATATCAACAACAGAGAAATATTTTCTAAACTTTTAACAGTCACTTTTCTACAATCCAAAGTGTTTAGTTCACATATCTATACATACAGTCACTAAAACTTTTGTGAACCAACCACTTGTCCACAGGACCTGCCTAGACAGTTTGTCATCAATACGAAAGGTTTTTTTTATATAAATAAGTCACTTAAACTTCACAGAGACTAAAAGAAACAATATACAATTCCAGCTGTAAATAAATCTGTACATTGTGGTCAGTCTTATTTGTCTGAAATCTTGCGCAGCTTTTAAGTGTCTTTTTATAAAATGATGGCAAGGAGCAGTGTTAGCTGGAATGGAAACTTGAAGACTCTGACTCTGTAGAAACAGAAGAATGTCCTGCACGTTTGCCTTTTGAAAGAATCTTGAGGCTTGATCCTCTGCTAACTGATGTCAAGGCATTTTGAGCTGATGTTTTGAACTTGGCCCCCAAGAAGGCATACAGAATTGGATTCAGGCAGCAGTGGAAGAATGCCAGGGCTTCTGTAATGGAGATCCATTTGTGCACTATAGTCTCCAAGCTGCAGCGGCGCCTGATGACTCCCAGCAAGATGAAGGTGTCAATGCTGATGCCAATATAATATGGCAGCCAGCAGGCAAAGAAGGCAAGGATGAGGATAACAGTGGTCTTCAAGGCTTTGCGCTTCTGGTGGCCTTTGGAGTGTGACAGCTTGGATATGATAATACAGTAGCAAGTCAGAATTATTAGACCAGGCAAGACAAGTCCTACCAAGATATGCTGGAATCTGAAGGAGATCAGCCAGTTTTCATGAGGGTACATGCGATCACAGAGATACTTTCTTTCTATTTCACTGGTACTGGCGAAGATTAAATCGGGCACTGTCAGAAGCAAAGCTGGCAGCCACACGCCTACATACACCACCTTCTCAGCCAACAGCTTTCGGGGGCGCTGGCTGTTGGTGGCGTGGACTATTGCCAGGTAACGATCTAAACTTATGAAGGCCAAAATCAAGACACTGCTATAGAGGTTGACTGTGTAAATGACATGAACTGCCTTGCACAGAACATTCCCGAAGTACCAGCCTATGGCTGCATCCACAGACCAGAATGGCAAGGTGATGACAAAAAGGAGGTCAGCCACAGAGAGGTGCAGTCTGTATTTATCAGTCATGCTTCTTTGTTTCTTCTGGTAGCCCATAACAATAATAACCAATCCATTGCCAATTATTCCGGTTAGAAAGATGATGGAGTAGATTGTTGGCAAGAAGATCCGGTTAAAATCGGCATTCTCATTTTGATAGCATGGCTCTTTGTAGTCTCCATAATCACCTGAACCAATCTCATCTGTGCCATTTTCAGAAAGTTCAATTAATAACCCAGATGACAGCTAAAAAAAAAGGAAGAAAATTAAATTAGATATTGCCTTCTCTACAAAAACTTATTCTATATGACAATATGTGAAGAATTGCTTGAACAGTCTCCACTGTCATAAATGGGCAAACATTTTGAAAACCAGATGGGAAAATACAATGTTTACATAAGCATATATAAAATACACAGCAAATAAGTTTAAAAACTTCTTATGTCTTTCTTTGAAGAGTAAAATCTTGCTAAGGGCAGGGCATGAAGGAGCAAAGAAAGATAATGGCTACTCCCAGAAATATCGTTGGTTCTGGACACTTCAGTGCTCTTATCAGATGGACACTACAAATGGGAGAGCCCAGAAAGTGCCAGATGCCAAGAGGTCTGTCCACACACAGCATGACCTATCACATTTAACTTCTACAATAGAGGGCTATAAAAAAAATTACTTAGAAATGCTGCTACTCCAAAGTCCCTTCTCATTAAGAGGATGGGGTCAAGGAGAAATAGAGAAGGTACCCTCGGCTGATGTAATAAAGGATAAATAATAGCAAGAATTCCCTGCTGAGAAGCAATTGACAGCTCCACATAAGCTCAGACAAGGAAAACAACCCCAAAGCCCATAAAGAAAGAAAGAAAGAGAGAGGTGACCTTAATCAGGGGAACTCAAAGCCCTCGAGGGGTCACCACGATGGGCCACGTTCCCTCCCTTTGTTCCCCACCCTCTGCGGTTGCGGGGCCGAGGGTGAGCGCGGCCGGCGCGGGACTGCAGCCAGACGGACCAAGTGAGCACAGCGGTGGAAAAAGGAAGCGAAATTTGGTGAGGGCATGAAAGCGCGTCAGGAAACCACCAACGGTTTTGGCCATGGCGCTAAAAGCAAAGCTGGCGGGAGAGTGCCATCTGGCTATGTGCAATTCCTCAGGTTTTCAGATTTTTTGTTTCATGCCCTGTGTTTCACGGACCCCCGAGCTCCGCGCAGGGCGCGCCCGAGACCCGCATCGCTTCACACGCGGAGGCACCGGCTCCACGCGGGCATTAACTGCGGCCCTAAAGCTGGAAATGTACAGAGATGTCCCTTTTGCTCCTAACTGCTCTCCGAACCGAGGCAGAGGAGCTGCCCCCGGAAGAGTGAGATGCCGCCGCGTTTCGCTCGGGGAGCGGACGGGACGGCCGGGCGCTGCCGCCGCTCCCAGTCCCGCCGGCAGCCCGAGGTGCGGGCGCGCACCGGGGCAAAGGGATCCCATTCCCTACAGTCAGACTGCTCCAAACTTCCTCGCCTCTTCCCCTCTCGTCATTCCCGTAGCGCTAATTGCTCTGCCGGCGTTTTTCAGTCCACAAAGGTACCACATGTCACTTGAACTGACGGCCGAGCAGCAGAGCCCCAGAGAAGGAGAGGAGTCCTGCAGCTGGAATTTGCAGCGGCTGCAGCTGTGCCAAGGTCCGAAGCGCTGCAGGCAGCGGCAGCAGCGGCCGGGGCTCAGAGGGGAGCCCGGCCCGTTCGCTGCCCGCAGACCCCTCCGCTGTCCCGACCCCCGCCTCCCGCAGCCTCCGTGTGCACCTCTGCTCCGAGGGCACCTTTGTTTGCAAACAGCGCGCACATGGGCAGCCGGCCGCGCTCCCGGCACTTACATCCAGGCTGTCGAGGCTGCTGTCCATGCTCAGAGCCATCGGACGGATCCGCGCTCTCAAGGCGTTGCTCTGCCGCAGCCGCGCCTCTCGCAGTGACACCACTCGCCGCTGCTCCAAACACGCCTCGGCTCTTCTGGCGGGACGCGCCGCTTTATAAAGTGCCGGGCTGTCCCCCCCGCCCCCGGGGCAGCCGCGTCTGGCTCCACCCCGGCGATGTCGCCGCGCTCTGGGGCTCCGGGCGGGCGCCTCGGGCCGCTCTTTGTCTGCCGCCCCGGGCATGGGAATTGCACTTGCCCGGCGCGCCCGCGGGGGCCACGCTCCTCACGGGGGCATTTGCCCCCTTCTGATTGATGTGTTCATACAAGCGGGCTTTTGAATTTCCCCTCAAGAACATTCTTTGAAGTGTGTTGTAGAGCCCTGGGGTTGCCATGGGTACCCCAGGCGGGGCTCCGAATGAAGTAGCTGGTCCAGGAGTCGTGTGGAGGAGGAAGAGCAGGGGTCCTGTATTACCATTCAAAATACTGGCAACTCTGTCTTGAAAGTTGTCTCTTCCCCCCTGCTGTGGAAAGGCAGGAAGCAAGGGCTGGTTCCTATTGAGGGATGAGAGGTTCTACAAACTTTTCAGGGGCTGCAACATGAGTGGGCTGCAGGTTGCCCTCTGAACTCCTCTGGCACCTGTGGCTTTGGGTGACAAGTCGGATGATGATCATATCATGTAGCTGGATAATATTAAAAAAACCCAACAAACAAACAAAACCCAAAAAAACAAACCAACCAACCAACCAACCAAAAAACCAACAACAACCCCCCACCACACACAAGAAACCCCCCACCAAATCAAACCAACCAACCCCCCCTACATACACAAAACCCAAAACACTGAAAAACTACAACAAATAAACCCCCAAACCCTGAAACTATATATGTAGAATATACATAGAAACCATAGGATATGTTTGCAAGAGAAAATCAACCCAAATACAGAGACAAGCAAAACAGAATAATTGATTTCCTCTACAGTTATCTCTGGGGTCTCAGTACTGCTAATATTCATGCAGGCAAATTAATTTGCAGAAAAGATTTTGATTAGCATAGTGTGTCATGTGTGTGTCCCCCCTCAACTTCACAATTCACAACAAAAAGTTATAGTGAGTAACTGTATTGGGAATAATTCATTCAGTTATATAGATTTACTCCTTACACTTTATTTTTGTAGTGGAAAGAAGAAGGGGGAGAATATTCTTTATGTAATAACAATGTTCTCAAATTACTCCAGTAGCCTCAATAGATCATAAAAGTGAAAGTTTGACCAAAGTTTTGTTCTGAAATGCCCCTATGATCAGTTTACATGCGCCGAGTTAGTTAAAACACTGGTTTCAAATGCAAATATTATCTTCAAGTATTTGACAATAGTTACTATCTTACTCTTCCTCTAACAGGTCTAGAACTCTTTCTCACACCCTACAGTGAGTATGAATTTGGTTATGATTAATAATCAAATATGTTTATCTTTAAAAATATGGTATGTAAGGTGTGACCTATAATGTGACTGTGTATTTCACTGCCCTGTAATTTGATAGTAATTCATATTTTGTTAGCAGGTCCAGAATATCATATACAAGTTACATTAAAAGAAGATTGTAATTGATTATAATTCAGGAATTACCAGTCTTCAGAAAATACTTTGTGTTTATATCCAGAAAAATCTGAGGGATACCAGGCTAGAATTCTATAGAAATAAACTATCTTCTCCTGAGACTCTATAATTAGATACTATCCCTATGCTTATGATACCATAAATCTTCTTTAAGAACAAATGTGACAAAATTGTAATTATTGCTATTAATTCCTTATTTTCCATAAAATCTGTGATGCATTCACTACTTTTTAGATGCACAAATAGGAAAACACATTCACCAAGTCATCACAGAGTGTGCAGCACATTAGATGACCAGGCAGATAAATGAACAGATGAGGGATTTTTGTATACAAATGAGTAGGATCATGTCTAAATAATCATCTTTCACTCTTTCAGTTACAGGGGATGCCAGCTCATAGCACCATCAATTGCCACGCAATTTTCAGCTGGGATATCGTGCTGGAAAGGCTCTCTAGCCTGCTATACGTGCAAACCTGTGAACCAGATTTTTGGATATACACATATTGAATAGGTTCTAAAAAACTAATCAGGACACAGAACTGCACACAGGGGAGGCGAGCTTTAAGGAAAAATTGGTTTCTACCTTTCCAGAAATTCATATGGGTGACAGATATATTTTTTGGAGAAGTATTCTCATCTTGGAGGGGCATAGATGATTAAAAATTGCTCCTTCTCTAAGTATGCAGTCAGGACATTAAAATATGTTCATAGTGCAGGTGAGTTGTGGCAATGGCTGCAGATGAGCAAAAGATACATAATGATATTATAATATAATATAGCATAGTACGTATGTGAGGTCTAGATCTGTTTGACAAGTTTGAGAATTGCTCTTCCTTGGGGTGGATAGCATGGAGTGCATTGACATGCGGGGAGGGATGCACAGAATTATGGGTTGTTACAGCCCAAGGAGACAAATGTTCCCATAGCTCCATTTTACTGTACAGATAGACTGAATAGCAAAATATATGATGTAGAAATGGATTATGTTAATTAGTGAGATATGGGACAATCACTCAGTTATTTGTGTTCATAGATTAAGAAATTCGGAGCTGAGGAATGGTTCAGTGCATTAGCCCTGAAGCATGGTTGTGCTGAGTGAAAGGAAATTTGGGGATGATACCGATCTGATGAGATGTCACTAAGGCTTGTTTGGATGAAGGTCCTCTAAAACTGTCATTCACACTGTTGCTTTGTTATCTATGATCTCTTTTGTTTCCCCTATCAGAAAATGCATGTGAAAACTTCCTTTGTTGCACAGAGGACTGTCCAGGGCAAGTTAATGATTTCCAAAGTGATAAAAGAGGGGAGCTGTTTCTGCAGAGCATGTAATTCTGAGTCAGCAACAAATCTTCTTGAGACAGAGCTAGCAAATAGCAATTTTCAAGCTTATGTTTTGCATTACATGTTTTCCTGGTCACAGAATTACTGTGAAAATCAGACCCTTCTTAACCCATGTAATACATGCTTTTATTACTGAAAGCACACCTTCTAAGAGTCAAAATCCTACATGTTCTTACACTGTTAGAGTAAGAGTACAATTCCTCAGGTTGTTGATCAGTAACTATTTTCTTCTAAAAAGAGACATAAGTTATGGCCATGTAAGAGCATAGTAGTTACTAACAAACTTTTCTAATGGTAAAAATACTCTTTTGATTCAGCATTCACAGAAGTAGAAAAATAAATTGCATCTTGTTTAACCATGACCCTAAGTTAAATGATTTACTTAATCTGAAGGCTTCACAAATGCCTTTAACAAAGTAAACTTTTAGCTAATAAAACTTTGATGGACCATTTCCTGTGGGCAACACCTAATACAAAGGAGGTACGATCCTTGGATTATGGAATATATGATTATCCCATGTTTGCATGTATTATTACATGATTGCCATGTATTACAGTGGTGTATTAATAAATTGTTTGTTATTTTTGTAGCATTAATGGAATTATACTTTCAAGACACATAGAAGACTATATCATAAAAACACATAACCAGCAATATGGCTGAAATAACCATACTATGTAATAGGAAGTGAATATATTTCAAATATTCACTGATTTTCTCTGTGCATGTCAATTCCTGTACTGGAAGGCTTCTGACAGCAGAGTGTCATCTGAAAAATTAAGAGAAAATGTGCTCAAGAGTTGCAAGACATCAACTTTGAGTAGTGGATTTTTCTACTCTAAAATTATTCCAGGGAACCGATGCTGTGGATTTGCCGCCAGATGAAAAGCAGTTTCCTGATAAAACTCAGAGGTTTATTACAATACACTGGATTGACTTAATGACAAATGGGTCTTCAAGTGGCCTGAAGTTGTATACATAGAGAGGAAAAGGATATACTCTCCCTTTTCCATCTGATCTTTCTGTTGAAGTGGGAAAGGTATCAATCTTACGCCTGTTAGAATGGTTACAAGCGGTTTGCTGGGGTTGGGTTTCAGTTAATGGCTTTCTTTGCTCTTGGTTCTCAGAGCTCCCTTTCTCCATTTCTTCGTGCCTGTGCTGCGGTGGAAAAAGCTTACCAACTGTTACCCTGATCCTGGAAGGACAGTGCTCCATTTATGGGCAGGGTGCCACCTATACTTACTAATTTGAAAGCACAAAGACTAAATAAAACCTGTGAAGGTGCAGGACATATCTTTCAATTAGTAGCATGTTACATGGCCACAGAAAAAAGTCCTTGTATGAAAGGGATGATACTTGAATATCAGAACAAAATTATACAAAAATTAGTATAAAGCAACAAAAGTGTTATCAGCATAAACCCCAAATTTCTCTGTTTCCTTGCTTTTAACAAGGACAATTTATATTGTTTCCTTTAAGTATTGCCACAAGGCCAAAATGTCTAAAGTCAGCACAGAAAAGTCAGCAGAAAAAAGAAAGAAGTGCTATCCTCTAAAAAGAATCATAGTGACTCTTGTGTTTTAATCCCACCTCCATCTGTGGCCTGCAGCAAATCACTTAACCCTTCTGACTGTGTTCAGCCAACTGTAAAATGGGGATAACAATACCTACTTACCTACCTCAGAGGAGACTTGTAGGGATTAATTGGTTGATGTTTGCAAGGCACTTTGAAGACAGAAAGTGCTTAATTTAGAGCCTGTTGAAATTATTGGTGACACTGATCAGCTAGAATTCAAAGGGGACCAAACTCATTAAGGTTCGGATCTTCCTCCATTTGGCTGTGTTTATGGGTTAGCAAATCTCACTGCATTGGGACAGTTTATTGTTTGTTTGGAAGCAGAGTAGACTAAAAAGATGCTTTGAACAACTTTGTTAATCCTTTTAAAAAACATGTCATCATTTGCATATCACTAGAGCTGAAGGGTTTATCTTTGATGATTCTATAGCAGAACACTTCTGGAGACATGTTGAAGTGGCTTTTTTTCTCCAGAACTGAGTTGTGGTCAGATCAAAATTATGAAAACAAAGTAAAGCCTCCCTAATTATATATAAGTAGTTTCTATCCTATAACCAGGCAGTATTTTGGC